TGATAGACTGCACTGATGAGGAGGCACTGATGGACATTGACAGGCATCACTAGTGGGCACTGAAAGGCTGCTCTGATGGGCACTGATATTTGGCATTGATGTACACTGATTGGAGGCAAAGGTGGGCACTGAAAGGCAGCACTGATGGAGCTGCACTGATGATCATTGCCCTGATTAAAAGTGTAGAGGAGAGGACTGCCGATAGCAGCATTTCCTGTTTACATGTGATCAGGTGTGATTGGACACAGCTGATCACATGGTAGAGCCTACATCATTGGCTCTTTCATGATCAGTGATCCACTGTGTCCCCGGGGGTGCATGCGCAGATAGAGTGGGAGGATGTCATATGTCCTCCCAGAACAAGAGAGCTCCCCCCCATCCCTCATTTCTCTGTACGGTGGGCAGGAAGCGGTTAACCCCTAAATCGTACATTTTCTGAAAGCATAGGGCAGGTAGAATAAAAAGAAGGGGACCCCCCCAAACTGTACATTTTATGACAGCTTAGGACCAGTAGAATAAAAAGAAGGTGCTAGTGATTTTTCAGGTCCCGTGATATTTGTGCAAATGTTAATAAAATATATATATATATTTTCACTAAAAAAATACATAAAAGTCATTGTTAGCCGAGACAAACAACAAAACTCACAAAATTCCCGCTAACTTCCCACACTAAATCTAAAACTGACTGCGGTAATCAATAAGAAATATTTGTACATTTTAGATTGCGCTTTTTGGGAAATGGTGAAAATCAAATATTTGCAAAACTGTAAATGTGTAATTTAGTCTAAAAATCTGAAGGTTATAATTTTTCACTTAATATTTCCAGAATTTGTAAACACCCCCAAACCAGACATTTTTTGAAGCATAGAACCAGTGGAATAATAAAAAGTGCTACAGATATATTAGACCCGCAATAGTTGGGGCAAAAAAGGTTATCCAATCTCTATTTTCACTAAAAATACACTAAAATCATTATTAGAGACATAAACACAACACAACGTACAACATTCCTGCTATAGTCCTACTAAGGCCTCGTTCACACAGGAAATCCTATAGTGTACGCCCTGCCAGGCCTCGGTTCCCCACACGGTGATGGACACGTGCTGTGCGGTCCCATTGGTGTCATTGGGGATTCAGTGGCTGCATGGAGGACACAGCTGCTGCCCCCATCCTGACATCCATGAGGGTGCACAGCCCTGAATGCAGACAGTGTGACTTCTGGGACATGCATCACACATGGATGTCAGATTGAGATCAGCAGCTGTGTGTGTGCAGCCGCTGCGTGCCAATTGGCATCAATGGGACTGCTTGTACAGGGATACACAGAGCACTGCTGTACACATGCGGGTGAACAAGGCCTGACATGGGCTGGGTCTATGCTGTAATGTGCTCTGTAAGGATGAGGCCCCACTGTTTTATTATTTTAATTGTTTTTATAATTTTATTGTATTTATTTTTTTGTGGGGGAGGGGGGTGGTTAGATATCAGAGGACTAAAGAAACCCTCAGAGTCCTCAATGCAACCTCAGCTGCACTGTAGATGAATAAATAGGAGTCTACTGTACAGAAGCTTCTATTCATTCATGAAACTAAAGCACAGAAAACACTCTTTACTATGCTTCAGTGATGAATGAACACAGGAGTGATCGGTACTGATCACTCATTGTGTTCATTCAGGAAGGGGCTGGTAAACATGACATGCCAACCCTCCACTCTCCATCCTGAACACCACACTGATCTCCCACTCCAGCAGCAGCTACAGCCATGGGCGGGGGTAGAGGGGAAGCCGTCCAGCAGCACTGCAGGGAAGGTGCTTCAGGGGATCAGTAAGAGGTCTAAGGACAAGGGGGGAGTCTGAGCGGCAGGGGGAAATATTTAGACATTTTGATTCCCCGTAGCTCCCCTGCAGCAGCTGAAGCTGGTGGGAGGGGAGAGGAGAAGAGGCCAGCAGCAGGGAAGCTAAAGGTAGATCTGTGCTGTGGGCGAGCAATGGGTGCTGCGTGTGGGGGGGATCGGTGCTGTAGGGGGATGTTAGAGGTGCAGGGAGCCATCCTAGAGGACAGGCAGAGGGTCTGTGGAGTGGAGGGAAGCTCAGGAGACCATGAGGTTATAGCAGAAGGGGAAAGCCATGGACATTGCCCACTACGTCGTACTGACCTGGCCAGCTGGAAGCAGTTCTCTATAGGTCAGTACAACACCCATCCATGGCAGCACAAGGGTTAATGATCACCTCGGGGGGGTTTTAGGGCACCAACATTTTCCATCATTTCATCAGCACACACCATTCCAAGGATGGACATGTTGGGTGTCTATTTACTCGGCACAAAAACCTCATATTTTACCCCACAAAAAAAGTAAAATCTTACATTTGTGTTCTCTAATATTACATTTAGTGTATTTATTTACTGAAATTTAATCTTGATAAATCATTGAGCTTAATCATGTGACATACAAAACTGGAACTACCACCATTTATTCTCCAGGGCCTCTGATGTCACAGAATAGATGTTTGGGGGTTTATCTCATCTTCAGGACCAAAATCTGCATTTTCCCATGTGTGCAAAATCATGCAGAAACAGCTCTGGCAGTGAGAGGGTTAATGTGGGCTAGATGGGATCCCTCTGCTGGGGTGACATTAGAGCTCCCCCTAGCTGCAGCCTGGTAAAAACATTGCTGGGAGGTCTCTTCATTTCTCTGCTCCATACTTCCCGTCTTTATAGAAACGTCTCCTGACATTTGGGGGTCTATTCATAGAATGTTTGTATAGCAATTCCCTCAGTGAGAGTTCATGTCCATTCCTCCTGTGTGAATGGGGGAACCAATGTTATTAGGATCACATCTGAGCTGCTGGAATGTCTTCCATTGATGGAAAATACATTGAAAACTTCTTCTCCTGCCATCAATGAGCCAACCCGGTCCCACACTTCATCCATGTCTTTGGGACCCTCTGATCTCCTTATGAACTGTTTCTTCCATGATGAAGATCAGCCATGGAGTATATCTGAGGTGTATATCAGGGTGTGCTTCTTCCCCACATGAGAGCTGGGATGTCCAGCAACATTCATCTAGAAGACATTTCCCGCACTCAAGGCACTAATACACCTCCAGGGTTGTGTGGGACCCCTGATGTACAAGAAGACAGGACTTCAGTGAGGAACATTTCCCTCACTCAGGACAGGAAAATGGCTTCTCCCCTGTGTGGGACCCCTGATGTACAGGAGGACAGTGTCAAGGATTCGTTAAACGATCACCCTGTCAACGTGTCCACCACACGCCACGCCCACAGCGACTAGCTAACTGAACACTCATTGTGATTCGCACGCGAGGGGGTGGTAAAGAGGGGATAATAAAGGGATTTACACTTAAATATCTCAAAACACGATATATAAGATCAGCCGTGATACCTTTTCACAGCCCACACTACCTCTGGCCACCACCAGATGGAGACTCCACTCCAATCCAGCTGGTTGACCACACACTGGCAGATAGGATCTGCAGCACTGCATACAACTGGTGCCCTGATTAGAGTTGAGGACCAGCTTAGTAATCACACACCCTTCTAAAGGTCCCTTCAGCTAGCCTAGCTTGAAGCCCCGGGTGTTGATAACCCTTCCACTGTCCACACCCCCCCACACCAGACGCACCACAAAGGTAGCCTGCCACCACCAACAGTTTATCCACAGAATGGTCTGTTAGAGGACACCAACACACACACAGATCTCCGTCTGGCAGATCTGTTACCTTTGCAATCTGCATGCAATCTGCCCACTCACAGTGCAGTTGCATACAGATTGGCAATGAGCTTGACCGAGCTGGAAGCATTTTAAAGGCACTAAAATACAATACAATCTATACCCAATCTAATCTCTCCGATCTAATCTCTCCGATCTAGTCTCTCCGAAGATATGAGCACGAGCTTAAGTACACAAAAGTTCACTAATTAATTTTAAGATTTAATTTCCCAAAGTGGGCGGTGCATTAAAATATGTACAAAATATAAAAGGTTACAGAAAATACAAAAGATATAAGAAGACACACAAATGACTAATTACCTTTATAAAATAAAAGGGAATAAAAAGACAATCAATAACACTTTACTCTGCGACTGGAGCAAGCCAGAAACTTAGCATTCCATTGGTCAATCTCCACCAGCTCCGTACGGATCACAAATGTCCATTGTACCCAATTTATTGGGATTAGTACATGGGCAGGACATTAGTCTTCAGGACCAAAATGACTCTGGGGGAGGTGGTCCTGACCTGCCCACAAGAGTTACAGTTACTGTGTGTGGACCTGCCCAAGTTCAATTGGGCCAAGACTGGCCTGTACATCAAGTCGGGGATTGGATTTCTGACACCAGCGTGTCAGCCGATCGCAACAGTACCAAACACCCTCCGACTGTCGCACCCCCGCGTCATCTAATCATTCTTATGCATTTTCCTGGCTTTCTCCCCAAGCCACAAATATGATTTTCATATGCAAATGTAGCGCACAGAATGGCCTGCACAAAAGAAGCTTGTTCATATCTCTGCAACTAATATTTCAGCTTTTATAAGAGATTAAACATCCCCCTTTGATGAATGCATATAGCTAGCTGTCCTGTCTCCTATAACAAATTCCTAAACTGGTTTTCCCAGCAGGTGATCATCTCATTAACACAAAGGTGTCACCTCCAGGAACCTGGCTTTAGACTAATTGATGGTAAATGATGATTGGGTCTGTAAGGCCTATGGAGTAATTGTGTATACATACACATCTGACCCCAGACCATTGTTTGTACCTTCTATTAATTTCCCTACTGCCCAGGGGCTCAATGTACATCCTTAATGACCAGACTGTTCCTGCACACACCTTTGCAATGAAAGGGCCTGACATAATCTAATCTACTCAACCTGTCATGGCTTCATCTGAAGACCATATTTCCACTCAAATCTTACATGTCCGTTACAATAAATTTTTACATATCCGTTACAGACAGGACTTCAGTAAGGAACATTTCCCTCACTCAGGACAGGAATATGGCTTCTCCCCTGTGTGAGATTTCTGATGTTTGTGCAGACTGGACTTCACTGAAAAACATTTTCCCGCACTCAGGATAGGAAAGTGGCTTCTCCCCCGTGTGAGATCTTTTTGTTTACAAAGACTGGACCTGTCTGAAAAACATTTCCCACACTCAGGACAGGCATACGGTTTCTCCCCAGTATGAGTTCTCTGATGTATGTAAAGATTAGACTTCTGTGTAAAACATTTCCCGCACAAAGTACAGGAATACGGCTTTTCACCAGTGTGAGATCTCTGATGTCTGGAAAGATCGGACTTCTGTGAAAAACGTTTCCAGCACTGAGAACAGGAATATGGCTTTTCCCCTGTGTGTGAGATCTCTGATGTTTGTAAAGACTGTATTTTTGTGAAAAACATTTCCCGCATTCAGGGCAGGAATACGGCTTTTCCCCATGTGAGAGCTCTGATGTATGTTGTTGTGGTGGTTAATGTAAGGATATATATTATTTATAAAGGGCGTGTCCCTTTCCCTTAGATGAAATATTACAGTGCCTCCAGCCGTTAAAATACGGCAAATATTTTAGTAAACCAATAATTTGGACACCTTGATAATTTGATCACCACTTATTATTATACCTTGAAATTCTTTAGCCAATATGATTTCGTACCAACACACAAAATTTGCCTATAATAGATAAATATAAAAATTTATTTTATGTACAAAAATTATATATATATTAACACCAAAACCCAAAAGACTGGTGATAAATGAATATTGGTACACACAATCAAAAATATATCCTACCAATGTAAGACACACTAATAATGTCTCTAACTAATTACATCAATCACAAATTTAAATGATATGATATTTATTAAATTTATTAATAATTAATAATTTTGAATATCTCAAAGGTTATATTCTTACACGCCGTGGCCATAGGCTTGCAAGAAGTAAGCCCTTGATATGTGATACTCTGGTTATTAATATTCAATAAATTATGAAATATGGAAAAAATTTATAATATGGCAATCAACAATTTTTTTTTAACAGTAACACAGTATCTGACTACATATATCTAACTATCCAATATTGTTGTAATACACTAAGGTAATTTTATGATTCTACACAACAGAGGAAATAATTAATACAAAATCAAATAAACATCTCACCACACCCGGACGTCAGACTAGGCAACTCTCCCGTGGATTTAGCTGGCAGTGGAACGCCTTTAGACTGATATATAGGCAAGTGATAGATTCAATAGGGGAGAATGTAGGAAGTTATAAGTTTAGAGGTTTAAAGTTTTAGGAAGTTTGAAAAGATGGAAGAGTAGTTATTTCAGCAGAGATCTTCTTCAGATGTCAGGTCTTTCCATGAGGTCTTATGAGGGTTCTTCTTTTTCATCAGGTTTTTTTTCTGTTACAGCACATGGGCTTTTTATATCCACTAGTCCATTGTTCTAAGATACCTTCCCACCAGGCTTCCTGATTGGCTAGTTGAGAAATGTGTGTACATAAGCTATTTCTCACCTGCCCGCCAGGTGGCGGTCATGTATCACAGAACAATGTGAGCATTGAGATGACTCATACCTTGGGTGAAATCTTCAGGTAATTTCAGGAATAAAATATACGGCTCTTTCCAGATATAGCAGTGATACCTATATTATTCTAAATAGGGACCATGGAATATAGGTGTATATTAGGTTATTCCTCCTTGAAGTATCATCCTGTTTGTTTCTTGATAAGACATGTAACTAATGCTAGTTTATAATACATCTTACTTCCCATCATCTCAATACTCAAGTTAGTGATATATAGTTCCCATTGCTGAGTATTTAGTGGTGTTTAAAGTCTATGACATCTTATTCATAATCTGTTTTTGTAGTACATTTTTGTAATGATATACAGTGAACTTTTAAACTTAAATGTCCTGAATTTCACCCCTTGGTTTCAGCATCAACATTTCCTCTGTTGTAGGGAAAAAATCTCTGTTTGCCTAGCCCTTGTATCGGACTCATAGTAAACAATTGTTAATGCTTTCACCCTTGGTGAACAATAGTAGATAGTAATAGTTTCAGAGGTCTGTTGGTTCATCACACTCTACAAGGTTTGGGTTAAGTTCTCAGACAATCAGTTTGGTTCCTCTATTGTCATGTCCAGACCTTGTATATGTTTACCTGCTTATTGAAGTCTGATAATGGTGTTTGATCACCTGAGAACTTTAAAATAGTATTGTCTCTATTGGAGGAAAGAAAAACTTAATCCCTTTACCCATTACATTTCTCTAGCTAGATGGTTTCAACCAAGACAAAATTAACTCTTAGCATCCGGCTATTGCTGAGCTGTTTGCCATATAATATTATGTCTTGATAAAAGTCATATTCTTGAGACATGATTCAAAAGCCCACAACAAAATCCCCCTTTGTTTGGGGTACAGGCACGTGTATAGGGGTGTCTGTGTCGAAAAACATGAGTGGGGCTTTTGGCTAGAGTGATTGTTCGTCTTCTCCGGTGAAGTGAATGAAATAAAAAAAAAAAAAAAAAAATTTTTTTTTTTTTTTTTTTTTTTTTAAAAAATGGCAGCGGTGATGCTGGTTGGTCCTCAACTTGACTCGGCGTCTTTTAGATGGACACTTCCGATGACGATCCTGGTCTTGTGATGAGGCCGGCCTGGCCTGACACATCCACCTTGGGGTCCATGGGTCCTCCGCACGACAGGTCTCTTAGACGGTCTCCTAGGCGGGTCTTTTCCTCTGGACTGGCCCTTGGTGGCCTGGGACATCAGGTTATCGTCTCCGGATCGATCTCTGGCATCTGGTCTTTCCCACAGGACATTATAGCTTCCTTCTAGGGTCCGGTCATTGACACCTCCGATCGCCGGTCTGGTCACAGTCTGGGCCTTCCTTTTTCTAAATTATTAAAATGAACAGTTTGAGTAATGGATATACATAAAATTATATTACTGGATCCTGTAAGGCAAAAGATGAATTATATGTTTAAAGGAAAATTTAATAATGATCTCAATATCTCCAGATAGGAATTGGTGGGTTCAGTCTTCCAACAACTGCAATTGAGACTTTGGATGGCAAGCACGTAATTGGTTGATGTGCACCCATCTATCACTGATTTCACCATACCGGGTAACCTGCAATTTATATGCGACCGGAGAGATTTTATCAATGATAGAGAACGGACCTTTCCAAGATGGAAGGAATTTCCGTTCCTTGATCTGGTCTCTTGCAAAGTTGTATAGATAGACTTTGTCACCAATCTCATATTCCTTCTTGGAGGTTTTGAGATCATAGTATGTCTTAGCACTAGTTGCAGCTCTTTCCAAATTTCGCTGGGCAAAGGCAAAAGCATATTGCAGATGTTTACGTAAATCCTCTATGTACTGGTGTGTGGTGGTAGCATTGATCAAATTTTGATCTGTAGTGCGATACAATAAGTGCTGGGGCAGTACCATCCGTCTACCTGTCATCAGTTCAAAAGATGACATTTTTGTAACTGTATTCGGAGTAGCCTCACAACGCCATCAGGACCAGCGGAAGTTTAACATCCCAGTCCTTGCCTGTTTCCTTAACAAATTTCTTAAGGACGTTAACGATGGTCTGATTGTATCGTTCTACACCACCACTAGAGGCTGGCCGATAGGCGATATGCAATTTCCTTTTAACCCCCAAAATTTTCCACAGTTTGGCCATCACTTCGCTAGTGAAGTGCGATCCTCTATCAGACTCTATCCTCTGAGGTAAACCAAAACGTGAAAATACATGATTTATTAGCAATGCAGCACATGTTTCGGAGCTATTATTTGGTGCTGGTATACATTCGACATACTTGGTGAATAAACATGTAACTGTTAACATATACCGATTTCCTCGTGAAGATTTTGTTACTGGCCCAATAAAATCCATCTGAAGGTCTGACCAAGGCATACATATCCCCCTCTTCTGGAGAGGTGTTCTGTGAGTTGGCTTGGTAGGTTGAAATTGGGGACATATTAGGCAACCTTGGCAGTATTCCTTCACATCACGTAACATATGAGGCCAGTAGGCATAATCCCGCAGGATCTCATACGTGATCTTCTCTCCACGATGACCGGAAGTGGGAGCATCATGGGCATGCTGTAGCATCAAACCTCTAAATTTAAGTGGGACGACCCATTGTTGTACGCCACCCTTTGAGGTTCGTATCAACAATCCCTGGTATAAAGAGAATTGGGATTTGGATTTCATTAAGATACGTAAATCCTCCTTCCCACTATATACTTCCTTATTTATGGGATTTTGGTTGGGATCTTCTATATGACTATAAAACAAGCCAATTATTGGGTCTTCTTTTTGGGCAGTAATTAAATCCTCACTAGGAGAATCGTGACTCCACTGTATTGCATTTGGATCACCAGCTGTTCTGGCCTGTTGCCTGGTGACAGCTTCAACCTGTACGGTACCTAAAAATTTGATCAATGTCTAACAGTTCACCGGTGATTGCCCCTTCCTTGGCTAGAGAATCGGCCAGATCGTTCCCTTCTTTCTCGGCACCTAGAACCTTGGAGTGGCCTTTGGTCTTCTTGAAGTGCAGGGTGAGATCATTGGACCTTACCAGTTCATCGATGTGACAAAAGAGCTTACCATGTTTCACGGGTTTGTGATTACTCTTGTTCATGTTGTTTCGCTTCCACCTAGGGAAATACTCCACAAAACTATTCCTGACATAATTGGAATCGGTTATGATGGCACACTCTCTGATGTTGAACTCTATAGCCATCTCAACTGCTCTAAGAATTGCAGTAAGTTCAGCAACCTGACTGCTTTTTGGTCCAAGTTTGTATCCCACAGAAATTGGGGTGACACCTTGGGTCCAAACGATTCCAATACCTGCCACTAGTTGGAGCTGTTCCCCATCCTTGTGATGAAAAGCACAACCATCCACATATACACACGGCAGCTGTTTACAGTATTCTTCATCGTAAAACCTTGTAGGGAGAGAACAGTTGTTCTTCCAGAAAGTCAGTGTCCGGGGCCTCCATAGCAGGCGTAGTTGCGGAACAATCATGGAGCTCGGCTAGGCCCTGGGCTACTGGACTTTCCTTGTTCTGTTTGTACCAAATTTCAAGAGGCCACCCTTGCAAAGACAAAGTCCAAGCAGTGATGCGGCTATTAGACACATTTCCTCCCTTGATACGTTCACTCTTTAAATACTGTAAAGGCTGGTGTGCCGTTTCAACAATGATTCTCTCTCCCCTGAATGTAACTGCGAAAATTCTGTAATGCCCACACGGTGGACAATAGAGCT